CACAATACGGAGGCAGTTTTCTTATGAACAATCTATTAGACAGGAAGGCAGAACAATTTAGTTGTCCACCAATAACTATGCTCTAGAAGTTGTGTTAATTCAAAGTAACAGACGTAATTACCGTTCCCAAGCGTGCTTTTCCCTTCACAATGCAGTAAGGCACCTCCTTCTTCTTGCACAAAGCAGGTAACCAGACAACCAATTCTATGGGATCCACATCATGAGCAATAACAACCAACTGTGCTTTGTTCTGCAAAGAAAATGCACTTGAACAAAATGATAACGGCAAGGAAGTCCAACCATTTAGATAACTGGCAGTAACACCGTAAGAATATACATGCAATAATAAATCATAACAAGAGAAATACATACCTGCTCAATAAGGTAAGTGACATGGTTGAGACCATATTTCACAACAACTGGCTTCTTGCTCTCAGCAGCTTTTCCTTCAGCCTCAGCCTGAGCCCTTTTCAGCAGGCGCTCCTTCTTTTCAGCTTTATCCTCAGGTCTATACTTGAGAAGCATCTTGAACAAGTTTGATGCTGCAGTGGTATATAAGACAAAAGGATAAGAAACTCGTAATATCATACAGACAAAGAAACATTACTGCAGCATTGTTAACAAAACAAAACAATGCAGAAAATTATGGTCAAGGTGAACATCAATTCATTGATGGGCATAGGATGTCATAATTATGACCCAGAAGACAGAAGGATAAAGAGCAAAACTTCAAACGTGACAATAAACCTTATTCAAACAGTCCCTCTGTATATACTAGACAATATGATTATAGATGTTTCACAAAGAGGAAAAGTAACATGACTTGTACAACAATCCAATACAGATCCCTAGCTAGCCATCAGATATTATTATGAATCCAACCTTGTCGAAATAGCAAGATAGATTAATAGATACCAATTTCATGACTAATAAAACATCTAAGCATGAGCATAGTGATGAGAGGAAATAAACAAACAAACAAACAAAAAAAAAAAAGAAAAAAGAAAAAAGAAAAATTGGGACACATACCGGTAACCTTGTCAAGAGTCTTGGTGAACTGGTTCAAAGCAGGAGGGACCTTAAGCCTCTGCTTGAGGATTCTCTTCTGTCTCTGAATCCTAACCACCTTAGGGAACTTGACAAATCGGCTCAAATCCCTCTTGGGAGGCAAAGCACCTCCAATCCCAAACTGCTTTGACCTCTTCTCAAACAACGGATTTGAGACCTTCTCCTGACAAAAGGCAAACAAAAAAAAAAAAAAAAAATTGTTGTTTAAATACGATACCAAAATGTATCTGAACAAGTAAAAGTCAGTTGCTTTGGCAAAGGGAGAGGTAAAAGAGGAGTACCACCGGTTTCTTCTTAGCTGCAGTAACAGGGGCTTTTCCAACTCCACTTCGTTTTGGAGCCTACAGAACAAAAACTAAGATGTGAATCGCATTTACTAACAGAAAATGCAAAAGAAAGCTTCAATAAATCCAAAATCTTTGAATTTGTGCCTAAGTAAAGAGCAGAAAGGAAAGAAAATAAGACTAACTCACCATTTTTTTTGCAGAGAGACAAAGTCAATTAAGCTCTCTCCTCTTAGTCTTGTATATATGGATTGGGAGTGAAGCGCGGAGGCGGAGCATAAACCCTAGCTTCCATTTCGGAACCCTTATATATGATGGAGATCTCACCGTAGGTAAGACTACTATTCGGGCCTAGATTGGGCTTGTTTTTGGGCCTACATCAGGGTCCTGTTATTGTCACGAAGCACGAGCTCACTTGTTGCTGCCCTGCCCCGAGAAAAGAGTTTTTCTCATTTTGGTCCCTCTATTTTAAAAAAAATTATTTTTAGTCTTTTTACTTAAAAAACCCTTTTTTAATCCCTAAAATTTATTACCCTACCCTTTTTAGTCCATTTACTGTATAATTTCCGTTATATAATGTGACATTTATGTAAAAAAATAATGGAGAGACTAAAAAATAAGTAAATAATAAACTTTAGAAATTAAAAAAGAATTTTCTTAAGCAGAGGGGCTAGAAAGAGATTTTTTGCTAAAGTAGAGGACCAAATTAGAGTTTTAACCAAAAAAAAAAAACTATTTATTTATTTATCATAGTAGTAGCTTTTACCTGGTACGACGTCGGCTGAAACGTCAACGGAACACCAACCGATCTCAAGAGTCCTTCGCTGCATTTAGAAGCACCAGCGCTTGAAGAAAAGTGGCAGAAGCAAAGGCAGACGCAGAGGCAGAGGCAGCGGCAGACAAACATGGAGAGCAGAAAGGTGGTGGTTTGTGACAATGGCACTGGGGTAATCATTTCTTCCTTCTTATTATCAAAGTTTTTTTTTTTTTAATCTTTTTGGGCTTCTGAAACTAGATCTGTTGATGCAGTATGTCAAATGTGGTTTTGCTGGAGAGAATTTCCCCACATCTGTCTTCCCTTGCGTCGTCGGTCGCCCCATTTTACGCTATGAAGAATCCCTCATGGAACAACAATTAAGGGTCTCAATTTTCTCTTACCCACCTCTTGTGCTTCGCAATTCAGCTTTCCCTGCTTGATCAATGTGTCTCCGATCTTTCCCCTTTTTTTTTTGGACATGGGGATTGGGTTATCTGCGTTGAACATGCTTGAACACTCATCGTATATCTAATTCCCATTTGCTGTTTTTCTTCAATTAGGATATTGTTGTTGGGGAAAGTTGTGCTGAATTGCGGCATCAACTGGATATTTCTTATCCTGTTAACAATGGGATTGTGCAGAACTGGGATGATATGTGCCATGTGTGGGACCATGCTTTTTATAATGAATTACAAGTATGTTTGTTTTCAGTGATGCCTTACAGCTTTCTTCCTAATAATCATGAGCTTCAAGTTCAATATATTTTTGCTTACTATAATACATTCTCTATTAACAGATTGACCCAACAGATTGTAAGATATTGCTCACAGACCCACCTCTTAATCCCTCAAAAAACCGTGAAAAAATGGTTTGTTATCCGATTTCATTATTCCTCTACTGCCAATTTGTAAATTTATAGTGCTATATATATTTTTCGGTGACTTCATTACTGGCACATGATGATTTGCGTTTGTCTGACATTACAGGTTGAGATGATGTTTGAAAAATACAACTTTGCAGGTGTCTTCATCCAAATTCAAGCTGTTTTGACTCTGTATGCTCAAGGTGCCTATGAAGATGAGTTAAGGTTTAAATTTCATTGTATATTTATATGACATAAACCAACCTATAAGAATTGCCTTTTGAAGAACTAAGATGCTAGAAGCTGCCAGGAATAGGTAGCCTGTAGCCACTTAAGATGATGTGTTAGAACCACACTTCTTCCTTTTTTTAATAATTTTCCCCTTTTATAGCACTACAATCAGTTCATTCCAATCTTTTTCTTTCCTAGCGAATATGCTTCAGCATTACTTTGGAATTTTTACAGGTTTGCTGACTGGATTAGTCATTGACTCTGGGGATGGTGTTACTCATGTGGTAAACCATTTATGCATCCTTCTATTTTTATTTATTTGAATCAGAATCTGCTTTACATTTTCCCATATGTTTCCATTTAGTCTTTACAGCCTGATTGTTCTCTGATATTGCATTACCTTGATCCATGTAGCATTTAGTTTGACATTGTCCTCCTTTATTTAACAATTATAGATATTTGGTGCTCTATTAGGTTCCATTAGAATAGGTTGCTTTATAACCTAGGATGTGCATTACTTGATAATGGTGGAGATGAAATGCTGGTCAATATAATGGTAGAAGTAAATAAGTAAAACTTGGAAATGAGACCAGCATAACAGATTAGAATGTGCACAGCTGGGAACACTGTAGGTTTTTTCAACTCTGGAGGATAATTAATTTTACTCTGCTTCCAGGTTCCAGTTGTTGATGGCTATTCATTCCCCCATCTAACTAAGCGAATGAATGTAGCTGGTCGGCACATAACATCCTATCTTGTCGATTTATTGTCAAGGAGAGGGTGAGAAGCAACTCTTTGTGAATATGATCTTAAGCTGATATGCAGCTGGTTCTTTTGTTTATTGTGTAATTTTTTTTATTTGGGGTGTCAAATCTATTTGTTGTAGGTATGCAATGAACAGGACTGCTGATTTTGAGACTGTTAGGGAAATCAAAGAGAAGCTCTGCTATATAAGGTGAGCAAACATTCCACTATATAATCTGATTTTATGGACCTTGCCATGTAATTTACCACTTTGTAGTTTCTTGCAGTTATGATTACAAAAGAGAATATCAATTAGGACTTGAGACCACCATCCTTGTTAAGCATTATACTGTAAGTTCATTCTCCTGGTATATTCATAAATCTTTTATGTCTTTTGCCAAATAAATGCACAATCTGGCAGTTTTTTGTATTCTCTTAAATTCTGGCATGACTTCATTGAGAAATCATGCTAAATGAACACCATTCATCCTTTTTTGGCTTCTTTATTTATTCACATCATATGAACTCTTCATTGCTGTCTGTGCTCTCTGTTTTATTGCTTTACTTAAAAAAAGAAAAAAGGAAAAGGATGGAACTCTTATACAGGTGCCTTTGTGTCTGGCCCAACATTTTAGTCTGTCCATATTTTCATACTTGTATGTGACTATGTAATCAAGAATTTTGTGTTTATTACACTGAAAGTTTTTATTTTAACCAGTTGCCAGATGGAAGAGTTATTAAAGTAGGCACTGAAAGGTTCCAGGCACCTGAGGCGCTTTTTACACCAGTATGCTCTGCATTTTTTCTATTTTTATGCAGTCTGTATGTTGACATTCTTCTGTGTTTCCTTTTCGATGGACTTCTGTGTTTCCTTTTCGATGGATCCTCTGACTATTATTGGTCAATTTTGGAAGTAATTTACAGATAGATACCCTGTACAAAGCTGCACTGGTAGATTTAAATATGTAATGGTCTTTTAGTTGAGTAGGTTTGCATGACATGCCCCATTAATTTGTGCAGATATAACTTTTTGATAAATTCATAGACATGGTGGTATTTTATTCGTCATAGAAACTTTATAATCCATAATTTATCTTGGCTGTTGAGAGCTTTGAGAATGCAGTTGTAGTACTGTCAGGGTAAGATTCATCTTTAGTGCTTGTTTTGTGTTCTTATGGACTAGCATGCTAGGCTTGAGGCCATTGGTCACAACAATGTAATGATAGACATTAAGACAATAGATTGCCAAAGGTTTTTTTTTAAAAAAAAAAAATCCTTTCTTTCAGGAACTCATCGATGTTGAAGGTGATGGAATGGCTGATATGGTTTTCCGCTGTATTCAGGAAATGGATATTGACAATCGCATGATGGTACTAAATAATTTTTAAACTATTATATGCTTTTATCTGGTTTTTCCCTCACTAAGTATTATTATTTGACACAATTTTCTATTTAGTTATATTTTGCAATGCTTCGTGACATAAATTTGTCAAAACTCTGTATCTTTAGAAAAGCTTCCTGCTAGTTAGTGAGATTATTTCACGTAGTTAAACAGTGATTTATGGTCTTTCTCAAGTGACCTTATAATGATACAAATTTAAAGAATTCACCATGTTAAGTAAATCCTTTTCAGTTTGGGTAAGAATTCCTTGCTATTTAAATCTGTTTAATTATTTCATTTATGTTTTACAGCTTTACCAGCATATAGTTTTGAGTGGAGGGAGCACCATGTATCCTGGATTACCTAGTCGGTAGTAGCTTGATCTCAATTTCTATTACACATGGACTTCAAAGTTTTCATCTCCTTTCATAACAATGTTTCTGCCATAATGCCATTCATATGATACAAATTGAAGGTTCGTTTTTTTCTCCTGCATAGGCTAGAGAAGGAAATATCAGACCGGTATCTTGAAGTAGTTCTAAAGGGAAATAAAGATGGATTGAAGGTAGGCTCTGAGGTCTTCTTAATATGCAATAAATCAGAAAGATGAATAAATTTCAAATTTTCTTTTCTTGTTGGTTTTGTTGTGTTGATGAGTATCATTTTACACAAATTATGGAATTGGAGCCAGTTACTTGATCCTTTGAATGCAGAGATCAAGCTATGATGCCTATCTTTAAGTTGTTTCTTACTTGCAGAAACTACGGCTGCGGATTGAGGATCCACCACGAAGAAAGCACATGGTTTACCTAGGAGGTGCAGTTCTTGCAGGAATTATGAAGGTATGTATTTATTTATCATGGATGCTCATACCTGCATGGTGAATGAAAAAGGCCTTTAAGGCTTTAGTTTCTCCATGAAATGGCATGGGGACAATTTTCTGATTGCCAACTTAAAAGACTTGCTTTTTTCTTTCGATCTGTGGGTAATTTGTGTAGGACGCACCCGAGTTTTGGATTAGCAGGGAAGAGTACTTGGAGGAAGGAGTTGCCTGTCTGAGCAAGTGTGGCCAGGCTTGACCTTCAGAGAGCATTTTGTAGTGTTCTCCAACAAAATCTCACAAGTTAGTTAAAATTTCAAATGGGTGTATGACTTACCAAGCCTGAAAACCTGGTGTGAATTTATCCTGGTTACATCCAATTTTGCCATCTAGAAGCTCATCCGGCAAATATTAGACTAACCAGGAAGTGATTACTGCTATAAATATCATCTTTTTACTGTATACCACTTATAGCCAGAAAAATGTAAAGCAAAACTTTTTTCTGGCACATGTTGTTAACATATGATAAAGACTTTGAATTCTGTGATTGTTACTCTCCGCTTTGTTTCAACAACTCTCATCTGTTGTCGTATCAAGCTATAGATTGACTACTAATGAATATCGAGAGTATGAGTTTCCTTTGTTTCATGTAAGATAGATTCAAGCATTACCTTCATTCATGTCTCTGTGGTGAGGTATGAACAGGTAATGTGGTTAGAGGTGGCCTGCCAAGTTTGATCAGGATGCCATGGTCCTTCATTGTTGCCTTATTTTATAATCTGCCTCGCATATTCAATTATAGCCAACTTGATTGTCTATTTTCGATGCCTATAAATAAGCAAAGGTAGATAGCCAATCTGCCATTGTTTTTTATATATCTTAGTGATGTTTCAGAAGCTTGGATCTTGATAGACCAACAAATAAATATGATGTTCAAAATCTATGTTTGCTTTCTCCTCTCCTCTCCTGAATAAAAGTAAACAAACAACGTCGATATGATGTCATGTGTTGGATGATACGCGTTTGTGACTTCAGCTATGCTGAATAGAAATTAGAGCAAGTTTGGGTTAATTTAAAAGAGTTTTTATTTTTTTTTAAAATAAGAAAAAAAAAATTAAAATTTTAATAAAAAAAATTTAAAAATTAATTTTAAAAATATAAATTTTTAAAAATTTATTATTTAAGAGTTTTTTAAGTTAAAAAAAATTAAAAATATAAATTTTTAAAAAAAAATTTTAATTTATAAAACATAAATAATATCAAAAATATTAAAACTCTTATCTGTTAATACAAACATGTTCTCGGACCGACATATATAGGTGAACCAGAATTTCAGAGTGACTGTTCCTGTCTTGACTTTGCAGTTTTGTTGAGGACTTGCATGAGTAATTACACAACTCTGACTCGGTTTTTGAAGATATCTTCTTTATTGTAAATTTTAAAATTAAGATAAATTTTAAATTTTTAAAAGAGATTTATAATTAATTTTTTAAATTATAGATTAAAAGTACAATTTATTTTATAAATTTATTAAAATATTTTTAACAAAATAAAAAATAATTTTATTAAAATACTTTAATAAATTTATTAAGTAAATTATATTTTTAATATACAATTTATCATACAAAATATTTTTTTATTATTTTTAAAATGTGCTTCTACATTTTAAAAAAAAATTACTTCTAAATTTTATTAAAATACTTTAATAAATTTATTAAGTAAATTATATTTTTAATATACAATTTATCTTACAAAATATTTTTTTATTATTTTTAAAATGTGCTTCTACATTTTAAAAAAAAATTACTTCTAACTTTTAAAGAAATAGAAGCAAAAACTATAAACTTGCTTATCTAAGGCTTTTTGTTATAAAATTTTTTACTTCGAAAATTGTTATAAATATTTATGATTATTTTATATAAAAATTTAAAACGTAGTGGTTACTTTCAATAAATGTTAGGAACAGAGAACTTTCAATAATCAATGTCCGTATGGTGTGTTACTATTCTCGTTGGAAAAAGTCTGACGGGTAAGGAAGCAAGCAACCTATAATACTTATCAAATGTGACAAAAATCACCAATAATTATTAGTTTAAGTGGAAAAAATTTAATTTTTTTAAATAATATAAGATTTAATTTAGTTCGATTTCAAATTAATTTAAATTTAATGTAATTTTTGGATATCGAAAGATTAATATATAAAAAAGAAAACAATGAAAATCAGATTACATAATTTTCCAAGTCGGAACAGAGAAATATGAATGAAAAAAGGCAGAGTAAAATAGGGATAAATTAAGAGATTGAAAAAGGAAATTGGGATGCCAACCCCACCAAACCAACCTACTATTATCAAGTACTAGCTCACTCACCCATCGTCTGGTACGACCAGTGGCCTACCCCAACCCATATCATATAACCAAAATCAATTCAATTCAATAAACATATGTATCATGCCATTCATTTTCATATTTAATTCATCACACCTTTCATGTCCTTTTAGTTTTCTTAATGATGACCCTGCTGTGACCTTGGGGCCATCACCTTTCCATATATATATATATATATATCCCTCTCCCCCAGTCTCCCTCTCTACTCAGAGCTAATGATGAAATCAGAATTCAGAAGCATTACAAATTTGTGAAACACATCGAGTTTAGTGCAATTCTTTGTTTTTGACACGCAACCATATTTGGTTTCTGCGTAAATATTTTGCTGCCAGTTTTTAGCTAGCTGCTGGGCATTCTGCAAATATTGTCCACTGACCCATTCCCAGACCCATTTATCTCTGTTCGACTGTTGCATTTCACCAGCCAGCTAGTCCCACATGGTTTGTTTGTCCTTTTTTCCTGAAAGTCAATATTCAATTTCAATATCAGTCCAATTTATTGTAACTTATCACAAGTTGTATTTTCTTCACTTAACAGGTTGAGCTTGGAATTGGAAGGTCTGCTAGTGGTACAATGGAGAACACCAATGGCAATAGCAATGGAAAAGCGTCTCAACTGAATCTGAATGTGAAGCAGGGAGAGCCGACTCTGGTTCCTCCCTCAGAGGAAACAGACAAGGGTCTCTACTTCCTCTCTAACCTTGACCAGAACATTGCAGTCGTTGTCCGCACTATATACTGCTTCAAGTCTGATGAAAGAGGGAATGAGAATGCGGCACAAGTGATCAAGGATGCTTTGAGGAAGGTTCTTGTTCACTACTACCCCCTCGCTGGAAGGCTCACAATCAGCGCTGAGGGCAAGCTGATCGTCGACTGCACCGCCCAAGGAGCTGTCTTTGTTGAGGCTGAAGCAAATTGCAAAATGGATGAGATTGGAGACATTACAAAACCAGACCCTGACACTCTTGGAAAGTTGGTCTATGACATTCCAGGGGCAAAAAACATACTAGAGATCCCACCTTTAGTGGCTCAGGTTTTTCAAACCTTTCCAAGGAAACTACTTTTTATTTTAATTCTAAGAAAACACTGTTTCTGCTTGATCTAAAGATTGGTTTTGATTTTCCAGGTGACGAAATTCCAGTGTGGAGGGTTTGTTCTTGGGCTGTGTATGAACCATTGTATGTTTGATGGGATAGGAGCTATGGAATTTGTGAATTCCTGGGGTCAAACAGCCAGGGGTTTGCCACTGGCTATTCCTCCATTCACAGACAGAACCATCCTCCAGGCCCGAGACCCTCCAAAGATAGAGTACCTGCATCAGGAATTTGCTGAGATTCAAGACAAGTCTAGTACTGGTGATCTCTACAAGGATGAGATGCTCTACAGATCATTCTGTTTTGACGCAGGGAGGGTTGAGAAACTGAAGAAAATGGCCTTGGAAGATGGGTTTCTTGACAAATGCACTACTTTTGAAGCTCTTTCAGCATTTGTGTGGAGGGCTAGGACCAAGGCGCTCAACATGCTGCCTGATCAACAAACAAAGCTCCTCTTTGCTGTTGATGGGAGGCCTAAATTTAGCCCTCCATTACCAACAGGTTACTTTGGCAATGGAATTGTGCTGACCAATTCTACATGCCAAGCGGGGGATTTACTGGAGAAACCATTTTCCTACGGCGTGGGGCTAATTCAGGATGCTATTAAGATGGTTACAGACAGTTACATGAGATCAGCTATAGATTATTTTCAACTAACAAGAGCTAGGCCTTCCTTGTCTTCTACACTGCTCATCACTACTTGGTCTAGGCTATCTTTCCACACTACGGATTTCGGGTGGGGAGACCCTGTTCTATCGGGGCCAGTTGGATTACCGGAGAAGGAGGTGATCTTGTTCCTATCTCATGGCAAGGAGAGGAAAAGCATAAATGTGCTTCTGGGTTTACCAGTTTCAGCCATGAAGACCTTCCAGGAACTAATGCAGGTCTAGAGAAAATGGGATCCTTTTTATTTGTCTGTCATATTTATTTCACTGTGCTAGTTCAGTTGTTTGTCTCTCTTGGAATATTATTATGTTGATAAGCTTAACAGAAGGAAACCAGGCATGCGTGATCAGGTACACCATGGAGATGGCTAGATGGGGGTAGAGGGAAGAAAATTCAGTTCAGAGCGGTGTGTGTTGGGCCCTATATTCTTTGTTTTTCTCTGGAGATTTCTGTTGGGATTGAATTAGTACTACCAGAACTTGTCTATTGTTGATTTATGTTCTCTTTCATTCAAAAGAATGGGATGTATGCCCTTGCATTCTTCTACAAACTAAAAGCTACCCAAGGCCATGGTGGTTGAGGAGAAAACACACATCCTTGGCCATAATTAATTTCCTCTTGATTTCTTTGACCAAACTCTAAATTGATGTGTCACTTGATGAGAATAAAGAAGAAAATAAAAGTTAAATCATCACTATTCAAGCACTCCATCATCATGTAGCTTTGTCTCTCTCTCTCCCCTGTTTTAAGCTATTGAAAGAGAAAGCCTAATAATATTTATATTTACAATTTTCCCATAACATTTCATTTCATGTGTATAGTAACTAGAGGCCAATTCTAATGGAAAACCAACATAGTTGACCTGCATTTGCATCTGTTGTCTGGTTTTTGGTGGACTGAGGAAGAAATGAATGTTTGTCTAATTTTCTTGTTAAAATTCAGCACTAGAAGAACTAGGGGCCCGGTTCCATCACATCAGTCATGTTTGTTTGCTGAGAATACTCATCTACCTACTTCAATAAGTACATTTCTAATAAAAAATTTCCAGATTGGATTGGC